CCACTACTACGACGACCACCACCACCACTACTACAACCACCACCACAACTACCACCACCACCACAACCACCACCACAACCACCACCACAACCACTACCACCACCCTGATTACCACAACCACCACCACTACCACCACAACCACCACCACCACCACGACCACCACTACAACAACAGCCACCACAACAACCACCACAACTACTACGACCACCACAACCACGACTACCACTACCACCAGCACTACAACGACCACTACAACAACTACAACCACTACGACCACCACAACCACTACTACCACCACCGCCACCACCACGACCACCACCACTACTACAACAACCAGTACAACCACTACAACCACTACGACCACCACCACTACTACCACTACTACCACCACTACTACCACCACCACCACTACGACGACCACCACTACTACAACCAGTACTACCACCACCACCACGACCACCACCACAACAACCACCACCACTACTACCACCACCACCACGACCACCACCACCACCACAACCACTACCACCACCACCACCACTACGACGACCACCACTACTACAACCACCACCACTACTACCACTACTACCACCACCACCACGACCACCACCACCACCACAACCACCACCACCACAACAACAACCACCACCACTACTACCACCACCACGACCACCACCACCACAACCACCACCACCACCACCACCACTACTACGACCACCACCACTACGACGACCACCACCACTACTACGACCACTACAACTACTACGACCACCACAACAACCACCACTACCACCACCACGACTACTACGACCACGACAACAACCACCACAACGACTACCACCACCACCACCACCACCACCACGACCACCACCACTACTACTACAACAACCAGTACAACCACTACAACCACTACGACCACCACCACTACTACCACTACTACCACCACTACTACCACCACCACCACTACGACGACCACCACTACTACAACCACCACCACTACTACCACCACCACCACGACCACCACCACCACCACCACGACCACCACCACAACAACCACCACCACTACTACCACCACCACCACGACCACCACCACCACCACAACCACTACCACCACCACCACCACTACGACGACCACCACTACTACAACCACCACCACTACTACCACTACTACCACCACCACCACGACCACCACCACCACCACAACCACCACCACCACCACAACAACAACCACCACCACTACTACCACCACCACGACCACCACCACCACAACCACCACCACCACCACCACTACTACGACCACCACCACTACGACGACCACCACCACTACTACGACCACTACAACTACTACGACCACCACCACGACCACCACTACCACCACCACGACTACTACGACCACCACAACCACCACCACTACTACGACCACCACCACCACGACAACAACCACCACAACGACTACCACCACCACTACCACCACCACCACCACCACCACGACCACCACCACTACCACCACCACCACCACCACTACGACCACCACCACCACTACTACAACAACCACTACAACCACTACAACCACTACGACCACCACCACTACTACCACTACTACCACCACCACTACCACCACCACCACCACTACGACGACCACAACTACTACAACCACCACCACTACTACCACCACCACCACGACCACCACCACCACCACAACCACCACCACCACCACCACGACCACCACTACAACAACCACCACCACCACCACCACTACTACAACCACCACTACTACGACCACCACGACTACTACGACCACCACAACCGCCACCACTACTACAACGACCACCACCACCACGACCACAACAACCACCACTACGACTACCACCACCACTACCACTACTACAACCACCACCACTACTACGACCACCACCACGACAACCACCACCACCACCACCACGACGACCACCACTACTACAACCACCACCACTACGACCACCACCACCACGACAACAACCACCACTACGACTACCACCACCACTACCACTACTACAACCACCACCACCACGACCACCACCACAACCACCACCACCACTACGACCACCACCACCACTACTACAACAACCACTACAACCACTACGACCACTACTACCACCACCACTACTACCACTACTACCACCACCACTACCACCACCACCACCACCACCACTACGACGACCACCACTACTACAACCACCACCACTACCACCACCACCACCACGACCACCACCACCACCACCACCACCACAACCACTACCACCACGACCACCGCCACCACCACCACCACGACTACGACCACCACCACTACGACGACCACCACCACTACTACGACCACTACAACTACTACGACCACCACAACAACCACCACTACCACCACCACGACTACTACGACCACGACAACAACCACCACAACGACTACCACCACCACCACCACCACCACCACGACCACCACCACTACTACTACAACAACCAGTACAACCACTACAACCACTACGACCACCACCACTACTACCACTACTACCACCACTACTACCACCACCACCACTACGACGACCACCACTACTACAACCACCACCACTACTACCACCACCACCACGACCACCACCACCACCACCACGACCACCACCACAACAACCACCACCACTACTACCACCACCACCACGACCACCACCACCACCACAACCACTACCACCACCACCACCACTACGACGACCACCACTACTACAACCACCACCACTACTACCACTACTACCACCACCACCACGACCACCACCACCACCACAACCACCACCACCACCACAACAACAACCACCACCACTACTACCACCACCACGACCACCACCACCACAACCACCACCACCACCACCACTACTACGACCACCACCACCACGACCACAACAACCACCACTACGACTACCACCACCACTACCACTACTACAACCACCACGACCACCACAACCACCACCACGACCACCGCCGCAACAACCACCACCACTACGACTACCACCACCACTACGACTACTACAACCACCACCACCACCACTACTACAACCACCACTATTACCACCACCACTTCGACGACCACAACTACTACCACCACCACTACTACCACCACCACCACAACCACCACCACAACAACCACCACCACTACAACCACCACCACTACTACCACCACCACAACCACCACCACAACAACCACTACGACAACCACCACCACCACAACTACCACCACTACGACTACCACCACCACCACGACTACTACGACCACCACCGCGACTACCACCACCACCACCACGACAACCACCGCCACCACCACCGCCACTACGACGACCACCACCACAACTACCACCACCACCACTACTACCACCACCACCACCACGACCACCACCACTACGACTACCACCACCACCACGACCACTACGACCACCACCACGACTACCACCACCACCACTACTACAACCACCACAACCACCACCACGACCACCACCACGACAACCACCACCACTACAACCATCACCACCACTACAATTACCACGACAACCACCACCACTACTACCACCACTACAACTACCACCACCACCACTACAACCACAACTACAACCACGACAACGACCACAACCTCCACTACCACCACCACGACCACCACTACCACGACGACCACCGTTACTACGACCACGACAACTACTACGACAAGCACCACTTCCGGCAGTACTACGCTGCCAGACCCTTCCACCACCTTGACCACCTCAGGCCCAGCTCCCTACTACAGCAGGTATCGCCGGCATCGCCGGCATCGCCGCATTCGACGCAACCACAACCGCTACTACGACTACTACTACAACTCGGGGAACTTGATGTCACAGCAGGAAGCGCAGAAGGGGCAGGAAGGGGAGTACATCATGTTCATGCAGAGGCCGGCAGCTGAAGAGTTGTGAGACGTGAGGGCCTTATGGCCTTGCAGAATGTCAGCAAAGTAGGGTGCAAAAGCGGATGCCAATGAGCATTCGTGATGCCAATCAAATGAATCCCTGCCGTTGCATGCAACGCAGAGTTCCAAAACTATGGGCGCGCACTCCAAATAAGGCGTACTTTGGTAGTTTTAAAAGGCAGGCTTTTAGCAGATCTGGGAACAGCCAGATTGTAATTTGCTCTATTACTGTTGGTTCCCATTGCAGTGCAACTAGCCCAACCTTCGCGCAGGGCTTGACTTGCGCCATACTTCCAGTTTGTTGGGCCTCACGCGCCATTCAGCTGGAATAACCCACGTGCTGCTTCGTTTGGCTTGAAACCTTGCAGCAATGGGCGCGCCCTCCATGATGGTCGGGTGCGCGCCAGGGACATGGTCAGAGACAAAACAAGGTCTGCAGATGCAGACGCCGCGCATTGAAGCGCGGTGTTCCTTGTAGTTGGCGATGTGGACGCGGTGCATCCGTTTCCAGGGCAAAGACTTCTCGGATTGGAGCCGTGGCAACCTAGGGCAAAGACCCTTTGGACCAAACGAGCCGTGGCAGGCCTCCAAATGTGCGGGCGGCTTCACTTCTTCACTTCTTCGCTTGACAGCCTCGCAGGAAATCCCAAAGGCACACCGGTATGAAATGGTAGAACCCGCCCCTGCTATTCAGGTTTCTCGGTTGTCGCCAACATTTTGCAGGCTCGTCCACACCCCCCACACCCACACCCCCCACACCACACACACTCACCACCCCACACCACCCCACACCACCCCACACCACCCCACACCACCCCACACCACCCCACACCCCACACCCCACCCCACACCACCCCACACCCCACACCCCACCACCCCACCCCACACCACCCCACACCACCCCACACCCGACACCCCACCCCACACCACCCCACACCCCACACCCCACCCCACACCACCCCACACCACCCCACACCACCCCACACCCCACACCCCACCACCCCACCCACCCTTCCTAACCACCCATGCGCCCACCCACGCCTTTCGACGCAGCTCTCGAGCCTTCCGACGTCCGGGGGCTTCGGGCACCAGCCATGCGTCTTTTTGCCCGGGCGCTCAGAGTCAGAATTTCCGGATCCACTCATCCATTTGCTGGACATGAACTAATATGCATATATATATATATATATATATTACAATAATATATATATATATATTTATTTATTTGTATACATATATATATATATATATACATTTACCCTGCATTAAAGCAAAGCTATCACTACTGGGGGAAAAGCACCACGACGAAAAGCGTTGTTCCCTAATTGGGAGTTCGGGCGGCCAAGCTAGTAAGTTGAAACGGCAACCGTTCGGTTGCCCACTTACGGTGGACGAAACCCTGCACCACCTAAGAAAGTCTGGAATGATGATTCCCCGGTAAATGCCGACAAACACTGGTTTCCGATGGTTTCAAAGTGGTGCGAACGGATTTTGTCCATTCACAGTACAATAGTCCCCCGTTCTTTGTGGGGTTCGCCTTGGGGGAAGAAAACCAAGAACAAGTCCAAGTGGCGAGCCACATGGCAACTCGGCAACTTGAACATCTAAGATGGGGTTCCCACCCCTGTCCACTAACCAATCCAAACCAAATAGAAGCTTGGTAGTTCTCAGCCCTCCCCTTGGGTTTGTTGGGTTTAGTGGTAGTTTCCCCACTTCACCCACAAGTTCGTCACTTCTCGCAGGTCCAGTAGTGCCCTATGGAAAGGATTTCGGCCTTGGCAAGGGAGCCCTGGGAGTTTGTGTTGGCCGTCCAAGGAGTGGTTGGTGGTTCCAGGCATCCGGTTCCTTAGCTTTCTAGATCCTTTTAGTGTTGAGTGGTTGGATTTTCCATGGAACCCACTAAAAGTGAGGTGGCTACTTGGTGGTTCCCAGCCAGTGGTTGGAATTTTCCATTGAACCCACTAAAAGTGGTAGGTCACTTTTCGCGGGGGGATCAGAAAACGGACAGCCCAGGTTAAAGCTCACTGGTCGGCACCTGTTTTAAGGTCAATCGACGGATGGAATGTCTCATGTTGCCGAAGACCGCCTGGGCACTTGTTTTTCAGAGATGCCTTCACAGGCAATAGCTTGAGGCAGTGTGGCATGTGGCATCAGACACCCCGTTAAGGGCTGGCATGACTTGACCCACATGGCCATGCCCGGTTACCCCCGTGAACATCCCAATCCAACCACTAAAATGGGTTCTAAAATGGGTGGTGCACCTACCCCAAAATGGGATCCCATTGGTTTTGACCCACAGCCACATCTTGGAAGCTGCGCAAATGGAGGGCCAGCACTCCAAAATGACCCCCTTGATTCGAATTTGCCCGGAGCCATGCGAACCCTTTTTAGACTGAAGGGAGCACGGGGAAGGGGTACCTAACCTAATGGTGAAACGCAAATCTGGATCCCGAAGATCCCGCCTTGTCCAGGCCGGACGAATTCTTTTTGGGCGGTTGCACTGAAGATGAACGAATAGGGGTTGAGTTCCCTACTTGGGCGATCGAGAGGCCAAGCTAGTAAGTTACGTACCGGTAACCCGGATTGCCCACTTCTAGTTGTCCCCTGTGAATGTGGGATTCGCCTGGTTTCTTGGGGTGAAACACAAAAAGCAAAAAACAAGCGGCTATCCGCGGACACACCTGCTTGGCAACGAACATCCAAGTCTCAATTCCTGGGTTCCTGGACTTTAAACACTTTTTGGGCGGACCATGTGAGTGGCAGATATCTAAAGTTTGGATTTGGCCACTCCACTGACTCCACTGGATCCGGAAGTGAGAAGTACAGCCTTGGGCTTTCTGGAAGATGTCCAGGAAGCTGACAGCCGCTTTATCAAGCTGAAAAAAGGCTCAGTGGTTCAGTGGCACCCCCTTTTTTTTTGGTGGCTGCCCCACGAAAAAAAGGGTCCAAGCCCAAAAAAGGGTTCCAATTATGTTTTTTGCCAAGGGTCACTGAAGAACTGAGATGAATTTGGGTGTGTCGGTTGAGGGCGCTCCTTGGTCTTGAAAGGGAGTGGCGCCACCGCTGTGCATACCATGGCCCAAGAAGCACATGAGCCACAATCAAAAACCCGGGTAGATGAAGGTTAGTAAGGGACAATCCCAGCCATATTTTTTTTGCGGATATCCGCCTTTGGTCCATGTTTCCACTTACCAGGGTTCCATTTTGGGTACCTATTTTCGACCCACTGCCATTTTACTCCCGGGTTTTGATTGTGACTCACATATCAACTCGCGGCAGGCCCAAGCAGTTCCGTAACTCCGCGCCGTGGCAGCAGACAGGATTCTTTGCGTTCGGTGTCTGGGGGAAGAACCGGATCGAAGCATAAAGGGGGTAACTGACTGGTAACTCCGAAAAAGACGGGGTTTTCCAAACGGGTTCCATGGCAAAATGAAAAACAATTAAGAAAATAACACTATATATATATATATTTCAAGAATAATAATAAAACAAACGGATGGTCCGAGCTGGAGGCTTCTCAATGAAGGGTAAGGCGCTTAAGGTATCCTAGGCAAGAAGATGAAGAAGCAACAAGAAAGGGGTGCAGGAGAGCTTGCCTGACCACACGCCAGCTTGGCACTTGCACCCACATCCGAACCAGGGGGGCAAGGGGGTTAGCTCCTCCTCCTTCCTCCTCCCGCCTCCTTTCTCCTCCTCCTCCTCCTCCTCCTCCTCCTCCTCCACCGAAACCTGATGCCGAAATCCCAATCTTCCGGTGCCTGCAGCCCATGCCGTTGGGATCCTTCGCGTCTTGGTCGCTTGCCGACCCTGTGGCGACGTGTGACAGGTGGGTTTATCCAAAAGGGAACCCAATCACATGTGGCAAGTGGCTTTGTCAGGGAAACCAACCAGCAGGGAATACAGGGGGAACCAGTTGGATACGGTTGAGGATTCCCCCGTTTGATGCACCTAAGTTTGATATTTCGGACATGGCACCAAGGGACTCCCCCCAGATCGGGACCCGCTCCCTCCGTATCCCCGCTTCGTTGGGTCAACTTTGAACCAAGCAAAAGGAGCCTCCCCCCCAAAACGACACCATGTTGACCCGTGACTCTTCAAACCCTGTCCTGATGAAGGTCCACCATTTGCACGACCCAGGATGGCGAGATGGGCCTTCATGGCTGCAGCCTTAATTCTCAGTGCAAGTAAACCAACCACAAATCATTTGAATTTACAGGGATTTGCAGGGTTTCCGTTTTTCCCTACCCAGACGCTCCCAACTTATGTTTCGGGCCCTCGCGGGCCCTCGCTAGCCGACGGTTATCCGACGCCGGGCCCTCGTAGACCCTCAGTTTTGGGGGCCCCGGCCCAAATATCCGACGGTTATCCGACGGTTATCCGACGGTTATCCGACGGTTATCCAACGGCGAGGGTCCCGTATCCGACAAACAGGCCGGTCCCTCCCGGGCCCCGTGTCTGGGTACTTGCTTTTTGTGGCGGGGCATCTGAACAAAAACTCTCAAGATGATGTCTGGGGCGGCTATAATCGCTCCTGAGAACAAAGGTCATCTCCGAGAGTTGGGGACTTCCATCTCTGCGGCTTGGAGTCCACCTCGAGCCAGCGAGCATGTCTTGTGTCTTGTGTTTGGTTGGATCCCCGGAGAAGCGAAATGGCTGTGGCTCCAAAAACCGGAACTCCAAAATGGGTTGCCCTTGTAAGTGGAAACATGGACCAAAACCTGCGGTTTGCACCCTGTTAAATTTTGAGCCACACCCAAATGTCGAGTTGCCCCAGGCAGCCATCGTCCTTGCCCGGGGTATCAACATCGACAAGGCCCCAGGGCTTCTTCTCTTCGCTGCGAGACTGGCATCGAGAGCTCGTAGCAACCGAGTCGAATCGACCCGAAATGACCATTATATGACCCATCTTCCCCGTGTGGGCACCCGAGACCCAAATGCGTCTCGGTGATCTGGAATTTCTGGGTCCGAACTGGGCCACTGAGCTTGACTTTGACCTTCTGTACTCTTGCCTTTGGGGTCTACTCCGGACAATGCCAGCTTCCCCGCTCGTTGGCAGTTTCAATTGAAGGAATTGAAAGGAGTGACCTAGGAAGGCGCAAAAAGAGCAAGCAGAGCATCGGTGTCCCGGGCTGAAGCTCTTAGTGTTAGAGCCGAATAAGGACTGGGTCCCCCAGCGATTGGTGCCCTTTCTTACCCCTTTTTTGGTTGGGAGGGTTCCCCTACTAAAATAGACAGAAAAAATAGGGTACCCTTATTCCAACCTCTCTACTGGAGGACCGAGAGGAGATCGTAATAAAACATCAGGCAAGCAGTTTTTGCCGCTGCTTGTCCATTCGGTGTCGCCTATGTTAGCCTATGTTAGTTGACTTGCCTTCCCACCGCTGTCCTTCATGTCCTTCAAGCTTGCACGTGCTTGCCGCTTCATGCCATTCCTATTCTCCTATCTTGCTGCAGCCCATGCAGACCTGTGGCGATTTTGCAGACGGATGATTGTCGAAGACCTCAACCATGAGGGCCTTTGACCCCAACAGGCCCCAAATAGGGTCTTCTGACTCCAGGGTTTGCTTTTGCCAAAAATGAAAGAATGACCCAAACAAAAGTGCAACATCATTCCAACTTTTCCAAATTTATTGAAAAGAAACATATCCCGAAAAAGTTCCCTCCCCCCCCAAACAAAAAATCACGTAACTTTTTTCGGAAAAAGAAAACGACAGTTTGCCCTTCGCCCTTTTCGGAGTTCCGTTGGCTGCGGCTCGCTCCAGGCGCGCAGCCAGGAGTCTTGGAAGTGCACTTGGCCGAAGTTCAGACGCGGAAACCTCTCTTTGGGGCCGCTGGTGTTCGAGAGATGTGATGGGGAATGAGAAATGAGCCACAATCAACACCCGAGTAGATGAAGGTTAGTACGGGCAATCCCAGCCAGAAATAGTTGCGGCGGCCTTCTTACTTCTTTACATGGTTCTGCGTAGACCATTTTAATACCGGGTTTTGATTGTGACTCAAATGCCTCATGAGCCCGGGAACAGCAAATCCCCGAGTTGGTTTCCTGAAAAAGGGACTTCTCATTCCCTGCCAATCGCACCGATTGCAAGTTTTGGCCGCTGGTGGCTTCGAACATCCACTTTTTGTTTTGGGCCCTCGAGCTTGAGGAGCTGCTTTCGCAGGGATTCGAGCCTCCCACGTGGGCCACAGAAAGTCTACGCTGGAGCCAAGTGCGTTAGACTTCCATTTGCTGAAATGAAGATTTTGTTTTTATGTTTCCCCTGTTGGTAATAAAACTAGGTCCCCCAGTAGTGCCCTTTTACCCTTTTTGGTTGCGAGGGAAAAAAGTGGGTACTCTTATTCTAACCTCTCTACTGGAGGACCTAGAAAAAAAAAAGATCTATCAGTAGATGTCTGGTAGACTGGCCTAGGGCCTCGAGATGACGTAAAAGGGGGGGGGGGGAAATCCTTTTATTGAATGGAAGATGAGCCGAGAGTGAACGCTGCAACTCTTGTATGGATCGGTGCTGGAAAAAACAAGCCCGTGACTCATGGAATTAAATCAAATGGCCTAGGCAGAAGATACCCTAACAGCACAAACGACAACTTATATATTTGCCCAAAGCGAATCGACCTCTTGACCTGGTTTCCTTCGTTTGGCCATTTTTGGTGGCCCTAAAAGTTTAACCTTGAATTTCAAGGTCCTTTGAGCAACTGAGATAAAGGGTGACCGTCCAGAGAAACCGTACGTTCAGGCGGTTTCAAGCAGTTCTCGTTTCAATTGGAAGGATCGAAACCTGGCAATATCACAAAATAATCACACACACACACACACACACACATGTGTGTTTCCTATGATCATGGCGAAGTTTGCCTCCAAAGTGCCTCACATCCATTCTAACCATTTAGGCCATAGGGCATGGTTTTGGGAATGAACCAGGAACTCTCTAGGAAACCGTCTGTGCCGTACGTTCTATTCGAAGATCTAGTTTGAGATTTTCTGGCTCCCGTCGTCTCAAGATTCAATCCAGCACCTTCCCCCGACGTGTTTTTCAAACATTCTAGGGGTACCTTCCCCATTCTTAAACCCAGAAAAGAACGATGGATGAAAAGAATGGAAAAGGAATCAGCTTCTAGAAACATGTCCATCATCCCCTTAGCGCACTGTCCAAGAAGACCTGGGTGCCGGATGCATCGCGCCCATCCCAGGCTGCTGCGATCCGAGGATGGGACCATGAGGACCGGACGCCTCGACCGGAGGAAGGGCGGAAGCCCGGAGTGAGGGAAAAGCGTGTGGCAAGGTCCCCCAGCGATTGGTGCCCTTGCTCACCGTTTTTTTGGTTGGGAGGGGAAACCCCCTACTAAAATAGACTACAGAAAACAAGTTGGTACCCTTATTCTAACCTCTCTACTGGAGGACTTAGGTAAAAAAGACTCAGAGCCAAAAAGACGAACGGACGGTGTGAGTGGCTGGCTACTTACCCCCCCCTTCCCGGGATTTTTGCAAGAAGTGCAGCTGTGGTCAAAAAGAGGTACCCAGGGAACCCTGGTACATTGAACCAAGGACGAACACCTGCGGTCGGGGAAATATGTCCTTTTGACACCCCGGTACGGGGACCGGGTCCCGGGTTCTGCATACCAAGCCCCGATCGGAGCCTTAGGCAATATACTATAACCTGTCCAATTCCTGGTGGTTTAATCTTGACCCATGCCCACGTGAAACCCCTAAGTTTTTGTTGGTACCTGAAACCCCTAAATGATGTCCACTCAGATGCCCAGTGGAATTCCTACATCCATCTGGTTTGAGCTTCCAGGTTCGGTCGAACTATCACCAGTTTTTTGAGGGTACCACGTGTTTGTTGTTTTAAAGGGAAACCAAAAGGAAAGCTACCACTGCAGGGGGCCGCCGAAAAGAAGACACGTTCATGTGACCGAATTATGGATATTTTGTTTTCTCCAAGGAATCGGACACCCCGCCAAAAAACAAGACGGGCTGGTGTTCCTTTTCCCGGAAGAAGTGCACCAGCCAAAAGGAGCGTCCGCCATTTTGAGCACGCACGGTCAATAATGCTCTTAGACGTCCAGGTTCAATTACGGATTCATGTTGCAAGACTCCCCATGAACCGGCATCCATCGCTGCAAGCGAAATGGAGCATTCCCTTGTGGATATGGGCGTGTTTTGTGGGGAAGGTCTTCTTGGTTAAGGGGAGCCCTGAGTTTATTTTTGTCAAATAGGTCAGGTTGTCGTGGGTAGGCCCCCCATTTTCTTCCTTCTCTTCTAATGCCCGGGGTATGGAACCTGAAAGAGGGTCCCTGGCAGAGGCCTGTTTTTGGGGGACACCCCTTTTTGGGTTGCTTTTTAAGGAGAACACCAAAAGGAAAGCCGCAATTTTGGGGGAGTTCCCCAAGAAAACTGACGCCCAAGTGGTTGCTGGGGCCTTCTGCTGTGTCAGGACGCAGGTGACGCAGGCTGGGCACGGCGCTAGCCCGGTTCGGTTTTTGCGGTCGTTCAAGAGGCTCACAGTCACCCAGCATTAGCCAGTGATCTACAAATGGATTCTGTGAAGAGTTTGCTAAACACTTGAATACCGCTGACAGGGCGGGCTCGAGAGAGATGCAAAACAGGCGCTACGCCCCTTTTAGCATGTTGTGAGTCGCGGCGACTTCGGGAGCCTGGTGTGGAGAGTTTTCAACCAACTCTTGTTGGATTCCTTTTCATTCTTTTCGACCATCGTGCTTCTCAAAAACCAGCGGTGCGGTTCCCTCTGAGTTTTTGATGAGCTTCTTGAAAAGAAGGATTTCAGGAAAGGATGGGGAGGCTTCCGCTAGTGAAAAGGGAAGGAACCTCCAAAAGTGGCAGTGTCAACCAAAACCACCAGCCAACTGCAACTTTTGAAGGGGAACCCAGTGTAAGGATTCTCCACAAACCAAGAGGAAAATCAGGAAGGGCTCTCCTTTTTCAAGGGTCTGAAAACCAGGGATAGAACATCGTCCCTTGCCCTCGTTTTTGTTGATGGTCCTCTTGCGACCGAGTCGCTTAGCACCTTTCTTCTCGTTTCCTCCAAAGACCCAAGTGGCCGAAGCAAATCGGATGCAACTATGACACAGAATCTTGGTATCCCCAACAGTGGATCCAATCTCCGGAAGCCTCCCTGGATCAGCTTCCCCTTCCCCAGAGGTTTTTTTGCCTATCCATGTGAAGCGCTTCATTCCCACAGTCTCAGCACTAGCGAGAAATGGTGTACAACCCATGGCAGGTCAAGCCTCGTCCATGGCTCAGTTACGCCTTTGTGGCTGGGGGTGGGTGATTGAGCCCGGCAGCCAACACTTTCCCCTTTTGGGGGTGTCTAAACAATTCGGGGTATCGTTTTTGAGGGTTCTCTTTTTTGGGTTGTTTTTAAAAGGGGAAAGCAAGGGGTCGAGTTGAAGAACCAGGTTTTTCATGGAGAGTACTGCATTTTCTTTGTCCCCACCTGACAGGTTTGGGGTTAGATTCGCCGCAACCTGCCCGCCCGCTGGCAGAGCCTGTGACAGACTGCTGCGACCGCCAGTGGGGGCCAGGACAGTGGCGGCAACCAGCTCCCGCCAGTGGCCGGGCCAGGGCAGCTGTGACAGTCCGAAGCGTGAGGCTCCCGATCCCCTTTTGCCCTTTTTTTTTGGCATTCTCTTGCGCACCTTTGCGCATGCCGCGCTACCACCTCCACTACACAGCAGGGCTTGGCGCGCAGCTTGTCAGGCTATTCCCCTGGCCCACATGGCAAGACTGTGCTTTGACAAGCAGGCAAGAAAGTGGAATACAGTGGCTTGCAAGGGTGTAGCGCATCTACTGCACAAGAATCCCGCCGCTCTAGAACAGCCAGGGATGGGGATATGACATTGCCTTGTGAGCCTTCGTGCGGTGCACTTGGCAGCTATGGGTAACTAGGTCGCTGTCCACTGTTTCGTTTGCTTCGCTGTCGCGCCACCCAGTAGAGACTGATTGCTGGTCAGGGTTGGACCCGTTCTGTCACGTTTTGACAGGCTTTAGAAATCAGCGTCTGAGTGGCTTCAAACAACACGAAGCTTGGATGGGGATTGTTTGACTTACAGTACAGCGAGGGGTTGACATCATACCTATCATTGGGTGCGGGGGAGATCCACCGAATGCGTGGAAGCCTTGAACCCTAGGTGCTGCGCTAGAGATTGACAGCGCCGGGGCCGTGCGCGATGTGGACGGCACGCAAGGCCTCGCCCCTTTCCCTTCGCAAAAAAACGCACGCTACCTTACTTTCACGGAGCCCCTAGACGCTCTCACTGCCCACAGGTTCCGGATTTGATACTCCGTGAGAATGGTAAAGAAGCAACATAGCGACCTTTTCTTGCTTGTCCACCAATCAAGGATGTGACCAAGGGCAAACCCTAAACTTCATGTCCTCCTTTGGAACAAGTAATTTTGACCATGGCTCATGTGACTCGGCCCTTTGGTCAGCGTAGGCAGGCAGACTTTCACTATGACAAGCACATCCACGAGTACTTCGACCGTGACAAGCACTACCGCTACCACAACCAGCACCAGTACGAACACAATCACCATCACAAGCGCGGCCGACAGCACCACTTCTCTGGCCACCACCAGCAGTACCACGGCTCCTGACACCACCGACGCCACCACCGCCACCAACACTGCCACCACTGCCACCACTGCCACAACTGTCACCACCGCAGAAGCCACCACCGACACCACCACCACCACCACCACCACCACCACCACCACCACCACCACCACCACCACCACCACCACCACCACCACCACCACCACTACTGTGGCCACCGTGGCTGCCGCCACTGGCTCCACCGCCGCCGCTGGCACTACCACCGCCACAGGCACTACCGAAACAACTGGCACTACAGCCACCACGGGCACAACCACCGCTGGCACCACCGCCCCCGCCGGCACTACCGCCACCACAGGCACCACCACCACCACCACCAGCACCACTAGCACTACCGAAACAATTGGCACTGCCGCCACTACTGGCACTACCGCCACCACTGCCACCCCCGGCACCACCGTCACTACCGCAACTGCCACCGCTGTGGCCACAACTAGTACCACCGCCATGACTGCTTCCACCACTGCCACAGTCACAACAGTCGCTGTGACAGATGCGACTTCTGCCAGCATAAGTGATGCGACCACGAGCTCCGTCAGTGGTACAGCGTCTGCCACCGCTGCTACCGCTGCCACCACTGACACCACCACTGCCGCTACCACCATCACTGCCACCACTGACACCACCACTGCCGCTACCACCATCACTGCCACCACTACGGCCGCCACCACTGCCACCATCCTTGCCACCACTGCCACCATCACTGCGGCCCCTGCAACCACCACGGCTGCAGCCAGTACTTCCGCTGCCACTGCAAGCCCTGGGGTCACCGTGCCTGCCACAGCGCCCTCAACCACCAGCGCGACCATGGCGACCACAGAGACGGATGAGGTGCTCAGCTTTCAGATGGGAGCCTTGGCGCAGCTTTTCAGAAAGTGCTCCACACATGCTTCTGCTTCAGCTTTTCCAGTTCACCCTCTTCAGCCCTTCAGCCCTTCAGCCGCACTCAGGCGCTCCCCCTGCGCCGCCGATTTCTTCGACAGAGGCTCCTGCATTGGAGCCAGCCCAGTGGGTGGTGGCACGGCTGGCAAGGGTTGGTTGAAGATGTTGGGTTCCCTTTTGCTTTCTTTGGAGAAGCCCCATCCAAGAGGGCTTTCTGTTGGTTGACCCCCCCAACTACAGCGCAGCAGCGCAAATATTCACCTCGTGCGGGGCGACCTTTGGAGGCAGTTCCCTTGTTGGGGGTTTTGATAGACCTTGTATCCATATATGAATTCCAATACTTGGAAGGGCCTCACAATTAGTTTGTCTTAAATCCAGGGGCACAAAAGGGTCCAACTAGATTCATATTCAGTCCATGACGTCGATGAGTTTCGATGGGTTCCACCTTCGTGTGCCACGTTGACCTCCTTTGATTGTGGCACTGGTCCACTTGCAGTGGTACGTGGCCCGTTCCGCGCTTGGCCCGTGACAGCCAACGGAAGCCCATGTTCTGCATTTTATGTTTCTGTCATCAGCTGAACTTGAAGCGTGTTTTGTTCACAGGGAACGAGCTTGCTTCCCATAGTCCAGCTGCGTCCTCTTGAACAAAGCGCGCACTTGCTGCTAGGTCCCCCAGTAGTGCCCTTTTACCCGTTTTTGGGAGGATTCCCCTATTAAAATAAAATAGACTACGGAAAAAAGGATGCCCATATTCTAACCTCTCTACTGGAGGACCTAGACTGTTTTGATCCCGTCCGATTCCTTGCAAGAGTTGGCGCAGTTCAACGGGACAGTTGAGAACTCCCCTCGAAAAAAAGGAGTATCCTTTAGACAACGGCTAGATGAGTCTGTCTTTCTTGAGGGTATAGTGTTCTGGTCTTAAAGGGAGACCAACAGCAACACCACCATTCTTTTGGGGTGGCAAAAGGAAGACCCCCCCCCCATATCAAAGTGGTTGTATATTCCAATAGCCCCCTGATTCGGCTGGTTGTGGAGACCACAAGAGAGAGGTTCTCTTACTTTGTCAGCTGAGGTGGCTACAAAGACGGAGAGTTGTGATGACACCTGCGCTGGGATGGGCGAGAAGTGCCTCTTCCCCCCCATGACACTTGGCCAAGACTTGGGTGTGTGTCGTAACGGCTTGGTTCCCAGCCATCCCTTCAGGTTTTTGGGCTTTTAGGGAGTCATACTGTGGGTGGACGAAATCCATTTCGCACCACCTAAGAAACCCTAAAATGATGATTCCCCTGCCTATACCAACAAAGAATGGTTTCGCATGGTTTCAAAGTGACAGGATTTTGTCCATCCACAGTAGTTTCCAGCAACAAGCGGGCCATGCCATCGAATTCGGTCGGCGCCTAGGCAGGCCACCGCCGAATCTGAGCGCCAGACTCAGTTGGCCTTCGCGCCCTGGCGGTTAACACGAGTCGCGAATCGAATCGAATCGAATCTGAATGCCCCTCCCAACAAACCTTGGTGGCTCCCAGCCATCCGGTTCCTTAGCTTTTTAGCCATTTAGTGTTTAGTTGGGGTTTTCATTTAACCCACTAAAAGTTAAACTTTTAGCTGGGGATCTGAGGACAGCCCAGAAACGGCCTTTGGCTTTGCAAGTCTCCCAACCCCATTCGTGACATTTGGGGTGTATGTATTCGGATGGAATCGGGCGCCCCAAAATCGTGGCTTTTTCCCTCTCGGTGACCAACCAAAAAAAAGGTGGGACGTTTATACCTTCGTTTTGTGGACCCCCCCCGTCTACTTCTCATACGGGTACCTTTCATGTCCATTCCTTCTTGAACACCTCCGGGAAAACGGCGGGTTTTCGAAAGAAGCCATTGAAAAGAATGGGGAATCAAGGCCTACCATGAACACAAGAAACTACTGTATGTGTTTCAGCATTCAGCTCCCTCACAAGTCGACGCCCAGCTGATACCGCTTGCCTTTAGCGTGTTGCCTGATAGCCCCTTCGGAGCTTTGCACTCTTTGCCTAGCTGAGCTCTGCGATTTCATTTTGATGCGAAGTGGAATTCGTTACGGCAATTTATAAACCATGGACCACGAGGGGGTTTTGCCAATCTACAATTGGGCAGGCCGGTTTGCACAAATGACCACAAGGAAGTGGCTTTTATTCGGACAATTTTTTCAGACAAATTTCCAAGGAAGTTGGGGGGGGGGTTGCCCCCTTTACTGATAGAATGTGGTGTTTCAACATGGGTTGAAACGAGCTTGCCCACCAGATAACATTAGCATGTGGAGCATGTGGGTTTCTAGACACGAACACCAGCAAAAAGGTGAGAACTGTTTGCCCGGGCTCCAGCATCAAGCCAGCAGCTTGTGTCAAAGTTTATTGTCGATTTACTCGCCACATAGGTTTGTCTCAAAAGAAAAGCTTTGGACCCACAAAATGGGTGGCTTCCTGTTGATTTCCCTTGAATGCACGCAAAATGGTAGCCTCAAAAAAGACATCCATGTTTCGGCGAAGCCACCAGACGAGCATCCGCCCGCGAAGCTTGGCGAAGCTTGTCCCTGGCTTCCTGTGGAGCATGTATTGAAACATGGGCTGGAACTCGCAAGGTGCGCTCGTATAAAAACTGGGCAAGTCATAGCGACCTCACATCCAAGTTTTCTTTTGTCGGGTTTTGGCTCGAACGGAAGTTGCGGCCACTGGGTGGGAAGCAAAAAGCAAGTCACCCAGAAGTGCGCTCATGGAATCTGGGCAAGTCATAGCGACCTCACGGTGGGAAACAAAAAGCAAGTCACCCCAAAAGGCGAAAAGCTGTTTGTTCAAGAGGCCGACTTCGGTGGAGTGGCAGCGATTTTTTCCTGCGGGTTGACGTCTGCTTTTCTCCCGGTGTTGCTCCTGAGCCTCCAGAAATTCCATGTCCCGCGCTTGGGAAAGCAAGAGGTTTCCAGCCTGCAAAGACTAAAACTGGCGAAGGGTTTAGTTTTCAAAGACTAAAACTGGCGAAGGGTTTGCCAAGCCAATGGTAAGTGGCTGTTTCTCCATGGTTTGCACTAGTTAACCTGAGATATCCTATCATGCCTTAAGAGGTGGCAGACGCCTGGGATCTCCTAGTCCGCTTTGTGAGTGAATTGGTCAGATCGCACAGTGAATGCGTGTCTTGCTTGGTTTTTGTGGCACTGCCGGATGCACCCGGGCTTCTGCCTCTTGAAGAGCTTCTGTGCGAAGTTTGCTTGCCTTTCAGGTCTTCTACTTTGAAGTTTGAACGCATTGATTTGCCTGAGCTTTGTGCTCATGGTCTTGCAAAGGCTATCATAAGAACAAGCAGCCAGACAGTTTGATTGTGATTCATGGGAACCACGGGGTAAAAAAAGCACTTGGTTGTCCCCACTCTACAAAGGGTATTTCTCCCCCTTGTGGTCGGGGTTAGTCTTTGGGAATGTGTTTTATTTCGCAGTTCTATTAGGCTGATTCCCCATTTTTTTCAACCATCGTTCTTTCCAATAAACCGGATCCGTTTTGCCTGGGTCTCCGGAGGTTTTCCGGAAAGATCCGGATCCCTGGTCAAGAATGGAAATGGAAGGTAACCCTAGAATCAGTTCTCCTCTTTGTTCTTGGTTGATTGTCTCGGGCCTTTCCAAAAAGGCAAAACGAGATTTTGGGGAAGGGAGACCCAGTGGATTCAACATGTCCCCCGCCCCTCTTCTCAAATCCGCCTGTGTCCTCGGCCGGTTCTCCTCGGCTCCGGGAAACATTCCACATTTTGGATTCTCGCGGTTGAGTGGATCGCACACGAAGTGCTCCGAAATCCAAAATCCAACTCCAAGATCCATCTCTGGAAAAAGAAGGTTGAACTCCACGCTCCATCCGAGGAAAGTGGTTCCACGCTCCATTTCTGAAAGCAAAATAGGAGGAAAGCGGAATCCAACTCCAAATCCAAAGCCAAGATCCATCTCTAAAAGGAAAAAAGCGGCGTACGTGGCCGAGCTCCAAATCCTCCGAATCCGCTTCGAAAAGGCCAACACGTGCTCGTCGGAATATCTTCTCCACGCATCCGAGGCCCAGGCGGGCTTCTCCTGCAGCAGCTTCGGCACGGGTTGCGCCCCGGAGGCGCAGAGCAGAGCGCAGAGAGGTTCCGGTGAGCGAGGGGACCAGCAAAACCCCCCGGGAGAGAAGCCCGGGGTTTTGGGCCAAGGATGGATATGTGAAAAGAAATATAGAATATATATATATATAAAAACAGTAGTGCCCTTTTACCAGCTTTTTTGGGGTCAAGGCAAGATATATATATATATAAGTATATTAATGTATATTAATGTGTATATATATATATATATATCTTGCGCAGCTAGGTGCCCTTTCTCACCGTTTCTTTTTTGGTTGAGAGGGTTCCAACCTGCTAAAATAGGCTACAGAAAAAAGTTGTACCCTTATTGTAACCTCTCTACTGGAGGACCTAGTCGTATATATCCAAGGGGATTCGTCTGGGATAAGCCAAGGACAAGATCCATCGGTCACATGGGATCGAGTTTTTGGACGG